TGAGGAATCTTTGCGTCTACTCTACACCCATGTAACGATTTTTGTAAAACCTGAATTTGATCAGGTTATGCCCCTGTTTAGAAAAACCTATGGTATTTTACAGTTGAAAACAAACAAAAAAAAACAGGCATGGTGTTGTACACCTGTAGTCTCAGCTACTTGGGAGGGGCACGAGGATCCCTTGAGCCCAGGAGTTTGAGACCACAGTGTGCTATGATCATGCCTGTGAATCGCCACCACACTCCAGCCTGGGCATCAGAGCAAGATTCTGTCTCTTAGGAAAACAAAAACCCAAAAAACAAAAACACAAAGCAAACAAAAAGCCTGTAGTACCCCATTCTCCCATCCTACCCCTGTTTTCTTCTCCCCTAGACAGTTACTATGTTAGTTTAATATATTTTAGCTGATGGAGGTATTTACTTCTATGACCAAATAGTATGTACTGTGTGACTACTTGATTTCAGTTTGAGTGACTATCTATTGACATCCTGCCGTGGAAGATGAGGTTTCTGTCTCTTTTCACTCTGTCCCCACCTCCTTTTCCCATCTCCTGCCCTCAACAGAATTCCACTGTGGTCAGTATTTGATTACCTTATTGCAGCGAGGTAAGTGCTATGCACAGTTGATTCATCCAGTAAACTATGATTATGTTTCCTTTTTGTGGTGGAGTGCATTCTTTAATTATTTCTGACAAAGGGTTCACTGGAAATAAATTACTTGACACTTAAGTAACCCTATGGGAAAAAAACATACCACATTGAACCAGGTTAAAAGGTTTGATTATGAGATGTGATTTATGGTCAAAGGAAGAGAAATGGCAAATAGCAGAGCAGAGTGAGACAGAATTTCAGTGATGAATCGGTACTAGAAAGTCTTTTGCAAAGAAAGAGACAAGAAAGAATCTCCCCTCCCCCACAGCGCCATAGTCTCCCATTGCTCATGGGAGGAAGTTCAGATGCCTTTATATGGCCCGGGAGGCTTCCTCACTCCAGCCTCTACCAGGCCAGCCCATTCATACTGGAGGCTCGAATGTCCCTCCTCTCTGTCTGGTGGAATCCCCTTTCTTCAAGCCTGGCTTGGGTTGTGTGGCCTTCCCAGCCGTGTGTCTGTTGCTCAGTGTGTGTAAGTAGTCTTAGCACTGCTTGAGTTTAACTGTTGGCTGTCTCTTCCCAACTCTCTGACCTTGGACAAGTTACCTTTCTTCTCCTTGCCTCTATTACCTCCTTTGTAAAATGTGAACGGTAGCAATAGCACCTACCTGTTAGGATCGTTAGCAATGGCACAGATTGTTGGCGCTGACAGTAGTGCCTGCCACATAGGAAGCAGTCAGTCAGTCTGTGCCCCGTGTCCCTCCTTCTTTCTCTACAAAGGCAGCATTGGTGGGTTGTATTCACCAGTTCCCCGAAGAGCTCTCAGCAAATCTGATGTCTTCAGCGGCTGGGCAGGGAACCTGAATGAGTGATTCAGGCCCTGGAGTGACAGCGACTAGAGAGGGCACTCCCTGCCTGACGGGGCACCTTCTGCTCTACTTCTAGCTATTTTTCTTTTCTTTAAATGAAAAATTTGAGAATTCACTTTTTTTTTTTTTTTAAATGTGAATGTTCCCTGCCATTTACTACACAGCACACCAGCCAAATGCACTACGTTTATTGGTCCATAGGCCACTGCTTTGGGGCCCAATGTTCATTTAACAGAGTAGGCCTGGGGGAGATGTGACCTGCCGCAGGCCGCACGCTGCCCGACCTGGCCCTCGGTTTTCTCACTGGTGTGAATGTGGACAGCACTGTCACTGCCCACCACCCGGGAGGTGACCGTGAGGGTGCAGCCATGCATGTGAGTGCCTCTTGCAAAGCAGCTGCGCGCGGTCTGACAGCTTGTTATGTCCATCGCGTCAGCCGCCCTTGCCTCCAGAAACTCCCTGGGTCTCAGGGTCTCTCTTTATACCAGGAGGAAAAATTGTTTGCATTTATTGAGCACTGACTGTGTGCCCAGAAATTGTTAAATGTACATTTGTATTCTCTTGCTTCTAAGAGCCCTCCCTATGGGATGGAAAGTAACAGTTTTACAGGTAATGCACATGGTTCATAGAGAAGGCCCTGATTGGGCCTTGCAGGAAGAGGTTTAGTCAGCATTGAATCCATGTCTCTGATGAAAATCCTGGGCTTTGACAGCATGCTGCTTCCCACTTACTGGAAGCCGAGTCCCATAGAAGCTCTGTGGGGCTTCTCTGTTCCCTGGGCACTTCCCCTGGAGAACAAGTCTAGTTTTGTTTTCTGCCTGCAGACATTGCAGCGAATGACCCCAAGCCTGGTCTGATAAGACAGAAGGCAGAGGAAATCAGGATGATGATGATGATGGCACAGAACCAGGGGAAAGCGGCAAAGCCTGTGTTGGAAGTGGGATTCAGGCTCGAGAGCTGAGGCACTCCCATGAAAGGCAGCACTTTTATTCCCATATTGTGGAATGCCAGTGGCATTTGCAAACCGATCTAGCAAGCCCACAGCTTGGGATGATGGGATGAATTAGAACTGATCAGAGCCTCCTTTACCTCCATGAGACTCCTGCAATTACATGTTTAGAAAGAAAATTTTGGCTGGGTGCAGTGGTTCACATCTGTAATCCAAGTGCTTTGGGAGGCCAAGGTGGGTGGATCACTTGAAGCCAGGAATTTGAGACCAGCCTGGCCAACATGTGAAACCCCATCTCTACTAAAAGTACGGGGGAAAAAAAATGAGTTGGGCATGGTGGCGCACACCTGTAGTCCCAGCTACTTGGGAGGCTGAGGTATAAGAATTGCTTGAACCTGGGAGGCAGAGGTTGCAGTGAGCCAAGATCATGCCACTGCACTCCAGCCTGGGTGACAGAGAAAGACTCTGTCTCAAAAAAAAAAATAAAAATTTTCGGATAGTTACTTGTGAGTCAGGTCCCTCTAGCTAGTGGAACACGTATTTTACCAGCAGGTGGCTGTTGAATCTCCAGCCCCATAACTCATGATCATGTATTGTTCCTTTGGAGTATCCACTTCCCCTTTCTTTTCTGTTTGTTTGTTTTTGGAGACAGGGTCTTTTGCCCGGGTTGGATTGCAGTGGTATGATCTCGGCTCACTGCAGCCTCAACCTTCTGGGCTTAAGCAATCTTCCTACCCTGGCCACATGCCACTATGCCCAGCTAGTTTTATTTTTTTATAGAGACAGGGTCTTACTATATCCTCCAGCATGGTCTCTAACTCCCGGACTCGAGCAATCCTCCCACCTGGGCCTCCCACAGTATTGGGACTATAGGTGTGAGCCCCTGTGCCTGGTCATTTTCCTTTTTTTTTTCAACTCATGCATGTATCCCTCCCTTCCCTAGGTGTAGCTTTGTGAGGCAGATGCTAAGGGAGAAGTAGAGGGGATTGTGGGGTCTGAAGCACTGCCCTGATCCCTCCCAATAGGTTCTCCTAGACCTGGGACTAACTTACTGTTTTTCTTCTCTTGGATCTGGTTTTTTGACTTTTACAACGTGATTAAGCCTCACACAGTCCCCTTTTGCCTTCCAAACTCCTGTTAAGGCCCAAGTTGCTAGTTGCTATCTCAGAATGGATGACACCCTTATCTCTGGCCATTCTCCGCATTCCAGACCTCTGGCTTCTCCAGTTTCTCGCAGACACCATGCTGCTCCCCCTCCCCTCTTATCTGGACACAGGCTCTGCCGCTTGTTTTGGACGCAGTATTTTCCTTCTCTCCCCCGAGTTCTTATTCATGCTTTGGGCTTCTGTTTAGATAGTACTGCTCTGGAAGTTTCCTGTGACTCTCCCTCGAATACCTAGTCCGGTGCGGTTCTTCCCTGCTGAGTTCCATGGCGCCTGGACCATTCTTACGCTGGCACTGGCTTTTCTGGAATGGACTGTAATACCTACCTCACCCACCGGGCTATAAATGCCCTGGAGGCAAGGCTACGCCCAAGGCCTGGCAGCAGGTCTGGCATGTGATAAATACATTTGCACTCTCTTTAACGCTGACTGCATCATATGGACTGAAGCTGCCAGAGGCAGCTGGATATTCTTCCCAGAGGTCCTGGACAAAGCTGTTTAATCTATACATGCTGCCCAATATAGTAGTTGCTAGCCATGTTAATTAAAAAAATTTAAGTATAATGAATTAAATTATTTTTTTGAGACACTGTCTTACTCTGTTGCCCAGGCTGGAGTGCAGTGGCACGATCTCAGCTCACTGCAACCTCCGCCTCCTGGGTCCAGACAATTCTCTTGCCTCTGCCACCTGAGTAGCTAGGATTACAGGCACGTGCCACCACACCCCGCTAATTTTTGCATTTTTAATAGGGATGGGGGTAATTTCCAAAGGGTCCACAGTGCACAACATACTGTGCATATACATAGGAGGTGCTCAGAAACTTTGCATTCTTGTTGCTCACTAAACTTTTTTTTTTGAGACAGAGACATGCTCTGTTGCCCAGGCTGGAATGCAGTGGCATGATCTTGGCTCACTACAAACTCCATCTCCTGGGTTCAAGAGATTCTTGTGCCCCAGCCTCCTGAGTAGCTGGAACGATAGGCGCTCGCCACCACGCCTGGCTCATTTTCGTATTTTTAGTAGAGATGGGGTTTCAGGCTGGTCTCCAACTCCTGACTCAAGTGATCCACCTGCCTTGGCCTCTCAAAGTGCTGGCATTACAGGCGTGAGCCACTGTGCCTAGCCTGATTAAAATGAAATAAACTAAAAACTCTTTTCCTCAGTCACACCAGCCAGTTTCAAATGCTCATTAGCCACGCATGGCTGGTGGCCGCCACCCCGCACAGTGCAGAGCACAGGACGTTCCCACCATGGCAGGAAGCTCTTTTGGGTGGCGCTGCTCTAGCATGTCTTGTAAAGGTGCTGCTTTAGGGGTCTGTGTGTTGGGTGCAGTCCTTCGTTGGTGTTTCTGTCCAGGTCCGTCTGGTAGGTGTTTGCAGATCCCTGCGTAAGCCTGAACTGTGTTTCCTCGGTTTCCCCCGGCTGCAGGATGCTCGTCAGAAGTTCCGCTCTGTTCTGGTTGAAGCGACAGTGAAACTGGATGAACTAGTGAAGAAAATTGGCAAAGCCGTGGAAGATTCCAAGCCCTACTGGGAGGCACGGAGGGTGGCAAGGCAGGTAAGACAGCCCCATAGATGTCTCCCCTACCTGCAGCCCCTACCCTTCAGTGTTGAGGCTGCCTTTGACTCTGTATCTCCTGCTGAATGTTAGACGCTTGAGTCCTATCTGTCTTATCTGTAGTGACTGTCCCCCCTCCACCCCTCGCTGCCCCAATCTGCGTCATTCCAGTGTGAATAGGGTGTGAATGCCAGCACTCAGATGACCGTGCAAGTGGGTGCTGCCCGAGCTGGTGCTGCGTGCACTGATGGGGACGTGTCCGGAGTGTGCTCCCCCTCCGCTCCGAATGCCAGCCTGTCAGGGAGCGGTAGGAAGATTCGCTTCCTACCTCACATTCGCCTCACTGTCTTCGGCGTGTTTAGCCTTCTACTTCTCTGGAAACATTGGTTCTTCTTCTTTTTTTTTTTTTAAATCCTTTTTAAGATTCAGCCGGTGAGTTGTTACACACTCCTTAGTGGATTCTGGTGTCCATGGCCATCGTCCTGTTGAAACTTTGGTTCTTTGTCCTGAGAGCTCACAAAAGAAGTGGTGAACCTGAGACTGGAAAGAGAGTGGCGGAGGGGGCTGTGATCGGGCGACTGCGGGGCTGCGGGGCTGCGGTTCTGGTTTAGGAGCTGGTCTTCCTTTGGCTGCTGTGTGACGCAATGTGCCACTTGTGTCACCTGCAGCCGCTGATAGCCAGGCCCTGTGAACGGGGAAGGTAAAGAGCCCCCAACAGTTACTGGGACCTGCTGTGAGCCAGGCCCTGGGCTGCACTCTTCTCCTTCCTCAGCCCACTCTGGCTTCCCGGTCAGGTGTTTCTAATGCGAATCACCAACCCCGTGATGCCTTTTGAGATGGGAGCTCAGATTTCCCAAGAAGATCTAAGTCGATCCAAATTATAGCTCACTAGCAAATGACCCAGTGCTGTCCCTGTGGTGTGTTTATGACACGGTGGGGGATGCTGCCTTTAAAAGTATCCACTTGTAAGATGTTTAGTGAGGCCCCATGTGGTGGCTCATGCCTGAAATCCCAGCACTCTGGGAGGCCCATCACTTGGTGGGCAGATCACTTGAGGTCAGGAGTTTGAGACCAGCCTGGCCAACATGATGAAACGCCATCTCTTCTAAAAATACAAAAATTAACTGGGTGTGGTGGTAGGTGCCTGTAATCCTAGCTACACTGGAGGCAGAGGCAGGAGAATTGCTTGAACCTGGGAGATGGAGGTTGCGGTGGGCCAAGATTGTGCCACTGCACTCCAGCCTGGGCAACAGAGTGCAGTTATGTAAAAAAAAAAAAAAATTAGAAATAACAACGAAAATTTTCTGAGCACCTACTGTGTATGTGCACAGGATGTTTTGTATTGTGAGGGAGATATCAGTAGGATGGACCTTTTGGAAATAAAGTCCCAGAAATCTAGGAAAATACTAAGATAGACCCATAGAGAATGAGGGCCAGGACTTAACCATTCCTCTTCTTGTTCCTATCTCCATCCACCTCTCAAATTTCCCTTCAAGGAACCTCTTTTCTGCTTTGGGAGTTCTTTTTTGTTTTTGTTTGGTTTTTGAGATGGAGATTCGCTCTTGTTGCCTAGGCTGGAGTGCAGTGGTGTGATCTGTGCTCACTGCAACCTCTGCCTCCCAGGTTCAAGTGAAGCGATTCTCCTGCCTCAGTCTTCTGAGTAGTTCCAGGCATGTGCCACCACGCCTGGCTAATTTTCTAATTTTAGTAGAGACCGGGTTGCTCCATGTTGGTCAGGCTGGACTCGAACTCCCGACTTCAGGTGATCCGCTCACCTCGGCCTCCCAAAGTGCTGGGATTAAAGTGTGAGCCACCACACGCAGACCTGCTTTGGGAGTTGTACCAGGATCCTCTCTGTGCGTTTGGGTTTTGTGCTCTAAACCCCAGGCTGAAGTTTCCGGTGGGAACTTACTAGATAGACGTTGCCTTTATTCCTAGACAGAGTGGCTGCCTGAAGCCCTTCTTCCTTCCCTGGCCTGGTGCACTGGGCTGTCTGCTTCAGAGTTCTGATTGCTCCTAGGTTTGCACAAGCCGTGAGCAGCAGCCACTCCCTCCCTTTCTCCACCTCCAGCCGGGCCCTCCCCAGACCTCTAGAGTTCTCGGGAGAACAAACCCTGCTCCAAAAGGTACTTTCCAATTTCCACAGATTCCGGAACCCTGAGGCATTCCCCCTCCAAAGTGTCCATGTCCCATCAATCTTTGAGAGGCCTCCTCAAGCCGAGGACCGTAGACCAAGGTTGTATCATTCTTGACCCGAAACGGAAGCGTGAGGGGTTCAGGTTAGGTTTGAGGAGACACTTCTGAGGATCTAAGTCAAACTGGATAAATACCGAGGAGTTCAGAAAGCCTCCTTTCCTGAAAGTCTTTAATGCCGGGACTTCTGGTTCTGTACTGCCGTTTAGCCCACACTTAGCTAGCCAAAGCAGCCCATGTGCCCATACTGCAGAAGGATTGAAGGATGGTTTGTAAAGCATCTCCTTAGAGTCGTGGCAGTGGCTTCTCTACCTGAAGTTTTCCTTGCCTGGTCCCTGAGCTCAGGTTTGGGGGCAGAGATGGCCCTCGGGGGCTTTGTGTCAGGATTTCTCGAGGCTGGTCCTCTGATTCAGGTCACTCCCTTGGCTGTGCTATTGTCACACGTGCTCCTACCTCAGGTCTTTGGACTTGCCCTTCCCTCTGTTTTTATTTTTATTTTTTTTGAGGCCGAGTTTTGCTCTTGTTGCCCCGGCTGGAGTGCAGTATTGTGATCTCGGCTCACTGCAACTTCCGCCTCCTGCGTTCAAGCGATTCTTCTACCTCAGCGTCCAGAGTAGCTTGGATTACAGGTGTAACACCACCACGCCCGGCTAATTTTTGTATTATTAGTGGAGATGGGGTTTTACCATGTTGGCCAGGCTGGTCTTGAACTCCTGACCTCAGATGATATACCTGCTTCGGCCTCCCAAAGTGCTGGGATTACAGGCGTGAGCCACCTCGCCTGGCCCCATTCCCTCTGTTTGCTGGTGTCCTCACCCTGGTATTTTCATGGCCCGATTCCTCATCTCCTTCAGGTTTCTGCTCAAATGTCCGGTTATTCATGAGGTCTTCTCAGGCTAACATTTAAAATGGTAACTCCCAGCCCACATCCCTGCCAGCCCCAGCCCCCATTCCTTGCTCTCCTTTTTCCCTGATGTACTTCCCCGTGCGACCTGTGGTAGTTGACTTGTTTACAGTAAGTGAAGCTTCACAAGGGCAGGGAGTTTTGTCCATTTGGCTCCTTGCCAGGTCTGCAGCGCTAGCATGCAGAAGGTACTCAAATACTGTATAAATCAATAAATGAACAAACTAGTGAATGATGCTGGGGAGCCGCCAACAGACAGAGGTTCCTCCGCTGCCCTCCCTTGAAGTCACGAGCTTTTCCTCTCCATGGCCCCTTTACTCGCAGCCTCGTTCCCACCTGGTAGCTAGGTGAGCAGATGGAGAGCGACCTGACTGGCAAATCCAGCTCCATCTGGGTTGGGTTCATTCAAATCCCATTTGACGGGTGGGTCCCCATCTGGCTGTGACACATCCTGGAGCGGATTTCACACCACTCCCTGCTCTTCTGTACCCCAAATCTTTGATGGGAAAAGACGTAGCAGGGAGCTGGCTGGGAGGCTCCTAGGCTGTTGGGAAGCCGTGGATGCTGGCTCCTCTCCTCCTCATCCCTTCTCTTGGCCAGTGGGGACGATAGGACAATGACTGAGTCCCTTGGGCAAGCAAGCCACTGAGTCATCAGACTGAATCAGATGATGCCCAGGTCCTGAGGTTGAGTCACTCTTAATGGGCAGAGCCCAAGAAGAAATGTTGAGAGCGTCCTGCCTGGCTTTATGCCTGCAAGTCCTCCTTGTAATCTCCTTCCTTCTTGCAGGTGGGCAGGAAGAAGGAGGGTAGCATTCCTAACCTGACTCCTACCGCTCACCCCCATGGGACCTTGTTGGTCAGTAGCGAAGGAACTGGAAAGATATTCAAAGGCTGGGGCTGGGCACGGATGTCGCATTTCATCTCCGTGGAGGGCAGGTTGCTCAGGCCAGATGGATGAGCTTGTTTGTGTGGGAATGTTCCTCTCACCTTCCTGATGGTGAGGGGGGCGATGTCCACCTCCAGCTGCTGCCAAGCGGGGGCTTCCTGTTTTCTTCCTTTGTTCTTATCCCCACCCGCTTCCTTTTTGTATTTACAAACCTCTCTGGCTGTGTGCAGCAGGGAATGGTGCCTGAGAGCCTCCTTCAGATAGCCGTTCCTTCCAGTTGGAGTCAGGAGGCACTGCATCCTCAGAGTCCCCTGCATCCTCGGAGTCCCCTGCATCCTCATTTGTGAAATGCTGGCAGTCAAGGGAACAGCCCTGGCTGTCTCAGGAGGTTGGGCTTAGGATTTAAGTGAGATGGTGCATTTTACAGTGGAATCCCAGCATGATCTTAGGTTTTGGCTTCATTAAAAAATGAGCATTTATTATAGAAAATTGAGAAAATAGAAGAAAAGAAGTCCCAGTACCTTCTCTTACTATTTGATGTATATCCCATATTTTTTTAAAAAAGAAATCATGATAATTACATGGTAGTCATGTATCAATGCATTTTCTACCTTTGATGGTCGTATTATGTGGGAGAAAGTCCTTATTTTTAGGAAATAACAACTATAAAAGTGTTGGGGAGGGGGAGCATCAGGTCCTCACTCAAATTGTTGAGAGCAAAAAGTTCTTTGTACGGTACTTTTTCTTAACTTTATGAATATTTTGAAATAAAAGCACGTATGCTATTTGGAGAAAAACAAGGTGCTGTAGTGGTGGTTTTATATGTGTGGAATATCCTTGTCTATCTATCCAGCATTTCAGTTGAGGGTGCTTAAAAGGGAAAAAACCTCCTACACTTGATTTTCTCTGAAGAGTTTACAAAGATTTGTAATTTCAGCCTGGGTAACTTAGTGAGATCTTGTCTCTACATGAAATAAAAAAATGTAAAATTATCTGGAGGTAGTGGTATGTGCCT